ACTTATGAATTAGATGTTCTGAGATTTAGTGCCACCAAATTTTCCTAAAGAGCTACTGTAATATAAAAATGTTTTTGAGGAATATTGAAAAGATTTTGTTCATCTCTTTTTCTAGTTACTTGAAAATTTATGCCACTATTAAACTACACACAGAATTGTACAGCTAGACTATCAGTATATAGTGAGGCATAAAATAAAAATCAGCTCTATGAAACTCTTCTTGGTGTCTATCATAAAGATATTGTTCAAGGCATATTTCATTATATTTTACAGCATCCTCTTTATGATGACCCTTGGGAGAAATTTCTTTCAGGTTTTAGTAGAAGAAATAATTGCACTTCTCTTGAGTAAATTGGTTTGCTTTTATCATGGATGTTGTAAATTATGAAATTGATCAGATTTATCTTTTTATTTAGCTTCTAAAAACTTAGATTCAAATTGAAATCTATCTGGTAGGAGGGCTATAGCCTTTTATACTTTGATTTCTTTTTCAGACAGCTCTGATAATAGTTTCGTTTAATATCACTACAACAGCTTTTCTTTCCCTCTTTTACTTTTATTCCTGAATCTAATTTAGATTGTATTCCTGCAATGTCATATTTTTGTAAGGCATACTGTATCTTTTGGGAACCAGCTGTAAATAAACTAGATATTAGGAGTTAGTATCACATATTCCTGGATCTGTCACACTTGCCCATATATTACATTATTTTTTTTTTCACATACTTTGAAGTTCTGAAGTTCTCTTCGTTCTTTTATTGTTCCCTCCACCGAGCCTTTTTAATGATACCCTGTCTAATATTTTCTTATGGTACTTGCAGCCTAGCATCTGGAAATTGTTTTAGTTTCATTGTGTTAAAGGAATAAGAAATAAGAATTTACACTAATTTCCTTACATTGCTTATGCACCTTAGCTAACTCCATATTGTCTGTGAAGAACATGTAATGAGAGACACCTAAACTTTTTAGCCTATTTACCTTTTGTACAATACCTTTCTTAAAGTTTATTTAATCTTTTGTTCAGTGTAGATTTATTGAACATCAGATATCTAGCCCTGGATAATTGTTGTGAGGAGGAAAAAAAGGATTTGAACCAAAAAGTTTTCCATACATGAAACACCTATAAAAAGTGCAGTGCATAAAAAGTAATGATAGTCAACTCTGTGGAAGATGACTTGTAAATGTACCTGAAATACTAGAGAAGAATTTAAACTAGATGATAAGAAATGAACAGCTATAGTATAGGATTCTGGCCAGGGGAAACTATATAAACAGAGGTGTAATAGCAGATAATATAGCATGAAATGGCATTGTTGGTATGTCAACTTGATTGACAATGAACACAGAAAAATTGTGACAAACAAAGTTGGAAGGGTAATTTAAGAGAGCCAATGAAGTAGATTTTTTTTCAAAAACTTTGACAGCCTCCCCACTAAGTAGGAATACATTATATATATGTAGTCATGCATTGCTTAATGACAAGGCTACATTCTGAAAAATGTGTCATTAGGCCATTCTGTCATTGTGCAAACATCATAAACTGCTTACACGAACCTAGATGGTGTAGCCTACCACACACTTACGCTATATGGTACAGCCAATATAATGATATGGAACCACTGTTGTATATGTAATTTGTTATTGACTGAAATGTCCTTAAGTGAACACTAATATTACATTCCCATTTAAATATATTTATTCCCATTTAAATACACACACACCAACACACATGCATACACTTCTACCCATAGGTTAAAATACTTATTATAGAGAAAAATTGGGGCACCAAGTGTAGTTGTCACTACATATGACACAAAAATTACAAATACAGGATAAACATGCTATTTACTTTTGCTACTTCATAATATTTTAAAATATTTTCACTAGCTGAAAAATTGCAGTTTTGCTTTATTCTAAATAGACATAAGCTTCTTACCAGTTTTTTTGTTTCATTATTTCCTGATTTTAATATAAACATATTTTCTAATATTCATTTCCTCTGTCCCTTAATACTATTAGTGCTTCTCTCTCACTATATTGTTGGTAATATAACAATAAGTATTAACTCCTTTAGAAAGTTAGAAATGTTACTTTTCTACCTCACATAAAATATTAACTAAAAAATTATGGTAATGTAAGGTCAAAGAGAGTATAAAAAAACTCTTTAATTTTCACCTTTTTGTTATTGTTTCAGTTTAAAATATGGATAGTATTATATTCATATAATAATATTTACAGCAGCAAAATATTTTATTATTTTTGAAATAACTCCAACCAAATTTTTGTTTCCTTCATCGATGGCTACTATCAAACCAACACATTATACAACATTGTGGTTAAATCAAAAAAGTCTCTCTCTTATCAAAGTCTACTGAGTTAAGACATATATTTCACCACCCTGCACTCTGAGCAGTGGCCAACTGAAGTAATCCTCCAATCATTGTTTTAAGCATTATGGTGGGAAGGTTAATCCTTTGACAGAACCACCACATAATCTCTGGCTTGATTCCATGCACAAGAGGATATGGGATTTATTTAAATGCCCAACTGAAAAGGTATCGGTTAGAAAGAAGAGTTGTTAGGAGGCTCAGCCTGCCAAACAAATGAAAAACTGAAAGGAAGGGCTGGGAATTGGCTACCTCCTCTGGTTGAGGTTTATCATGTAAGTGTGAAAAATGCAAATGGTGCATCTAATGTCATAACATTTTAAAAT